ACACACATATACATACACACAAAAATAAATGTAATAACATATTTATCGCTGTTAGGCACAAGGATCCGGTGAGCTGAGCCAGCGGGAAAATTTAGCCTCTGACTGAAGAGGAGACCCCTGTCATGTATGAGAAGATCTCGAAATACATCAGGGAGAATCTCCAGCTGCTGATGGATAGGCTGGATGGCACCTACTGCTTCTGGCTGCACAATGACCTGGTGTACTATGTGAGATGATCCTGAAGCTGGCTGCCAACATCTCTGGGAATAAGCTTGTGTCGCTGGGGACGTGTTTTGGAAAATTCACTAAGACCCACAAGTTCTGGTTGCATATTACAGCTCTGGATTTCCTTGTTCCTTATGCCAAGTACAAAGTGTGAATAGCAGAGTAGTTGTTCCTGTATGGAAACCATGTGTTGAAATCTGGTCTGGGTCAAATCATTGAAAACACTTCTCAGTATCAGGGTGTTGTGGTTTACTCCATGTCAGACATTCCTCTGGGTTTCGGGGTGGCAGCAAATTCTACACAAGAATGCAGGAAAGTACACCCCAAGGCAACAGTGGTATTTCATGAAGCAGACATTGGAGAACAATGTGTAGGGCACGAAGAGACACTGACTTCCAATGAAGTCATTGCAAAGACTTACGGCCTAGCTTTGTTTCCTGTGTGATGTTATCATGTTGAGTTTGGACAACACTGCAAACTTCTATGTGGCCTTCACTGACATGTGCAAGCTGGATTCTCACTATACAGAAATGGCTCGAGTAGGGTTTCAACCCCTCCACAGGCAAAGGCAGGAAGATCACCTGTGTAAGGCCAACTTGGGCTACATGACAAGTTCCAGGCCAGCCTGGGTACTGAGACCCTGCCTCAAAAACCCAAAAAGGGAAAAAAGTGGAGTTACAAGTCTTTGTGTGACTAAATATTTTTTATTCTATATCTAAATTTTTTTTTTGGTCTTTTTTGATACAGGGTCTCCCTGCAACCCCAGCTGGCCTGGAACTCACTATGTAGACCAAGCTGGCCTTGAACTCACAGAGATCCACCTGCCTCTGCCTCCCGAGTGCTGGGATTAAAGGCGTGCACTACCACGTCTGGCCAGTATTATTTTTTTAAATATTTTATTTATTATTTTTATTTTATATGTATGAGTGTATTGCCTGCATGTAGGTAAGTACACCCAATGTCATGCAATGCCCAAAGAGGTCAGAAGAGGCCATCAGATCCCCTGGAACTGGAGTTATGGACAGTTGTTAGCTGTCATGTGGGTGCTGGGATTCAAACTCAGATCTTCTGCAAAAACAGTGTCTCTGCCCCCCAAGTGCTATCTAAATCATTTTTGTTTGAATCAGAGGACTTGTTCTGAGTAATGGGTTCAAATTGTTGAACTGAGGACAAGAGTATTTTTATTGTTATCCGTGATAGCACTTTATTTTCCAGACTCATAATAAGAACACAATGGATTTTCTCTGTGATTCACTAATATCATGGAAGGTAGACATTGCTGTTATAAGAACAGTAGGCCTAGGCAGGGCGTGGTGGCACACGCCTTTGGTCCCAGCACTCAGGAGGCAGAGATTGAGGTCAGCCTGGTCTACATAGCAAGTTCGGGGTCATCTGCATCATCTGCAGCTACAGCAAGACCCTGTCTCCAAAAAAGAAAAGGGCCAGAGAGGGCTCAGCAGTTAAGAATACTGGTTGTTCTTGCAGAAGACCGGGGTTCGAATCCCAGCACCTACATGGCAGCTAACAACTGTCTGTGACTCCAGTCCTAGGGGATCTGACAGCCTCTTCTGACCTCCAAGGGCATTGCACGACACAGGTGCATTTACCTACATTCAGGCAATACATACATACACATAAAATAAAAATAATAAACAAAACTGAAAAGAGGGAAAAAAGTAGGCCTTTCTTGGGATTTTACAGATGAAATTTAGCTAAAATAATAGTTGCAACTTAGCTAGTTTTCTATATGTAACAGTACATAAGAAAGACTTGGATGGATTTGACCTCAGTTGTATGGCCTCGAGACGTTAGCTTCATTTTCTTCCTTTTTTCAAAAAAAAACCCCACAAAACTAAAAGACAGCTTTAATTATCAACCTAAGAATGGGTTTACAATCAGAAATTAAGATTATGAAGTATCTAGCACAGTGTCTGGAAAACGATAGGTGTTAGATAGATGCTAATCAAAAAATTTGTTGTTTGAGACTCCAGGCTGGCCTGGAGCTCACTATGTAGACCAGACTGGCCTCAGCTCACAGAGACCTACTTGCCTCTGCCTCCCAAGTGTTGAGATTAAAAGCGTGTGCGTCCATGCCCAGCTCTGAAATTTTTTTAAAATTTAATTTGTGTGCACTCTGAGGCCAGAAGGTGTTAGGTTCCTTTCAGTTGGAGTTACAGGGAGTTGTGAGCTGCCAGATGTTGGTCCTGGGAGCTGAAATCAGGTCTCTGGAAAAGCAGGAAGTATTCTTAATTGCTGAGCCATCTCTAGCCCACACTGAAATATTTTTGTGTTACATAGTTTTGTTATTAAACAGTCTTAAGAGTATATTAAAAAAAAAGAACAAAAGGCTGGGTGTGGTGGTGCACACCTTTAGTCCCAGCACTTGGGAGGCAGAGGCAGGCGGATCTTTGTGAGTTCAAGGGCCAGCCTGGTCTACATAGTGAGTTCAGGTCAGCTGGGGCTACAGGGAGACCCTGTTTCAAAAAGACAGAAAAAAATAAAAGAATAACATATAATTTATCAACTATTTCTGAAACAGTATATGTTAAACACATACACTTTGAGCTATGTCAGTGAATAAAAGACACAAAAATGTCTATGCTCCTACAGTTTCCATTTCACCAGAGAGAGAGCGAGAGAGCGAGAGAGAGAGAGATTAGATCCATATGTAAAACTGTAGCATCTGAGGTAGTGATTTAATAAAGAGTACTATAGGAAATATAATCAAAGATGGCCTCAGGATCCTCCACTGCCCACACACTCTTCTGCAGAGTAAAAACACCTGCCCTTGCTTGCTTGTGTGTGTACAGAGGTCTGTGACTGTGCACATGTATATATGTGTCAGTGTGTATGGGTGTGCATCTCATCCTCACTGAGGTTTTGGAGAAAAGGCAGCACCCCCACCGGTATCTGTACAGGGGTTTCCTATACAAGTTTGCCTTGCAGAGGACCTAGAATGGAGCCTGAAACTCAGCTCTGGCACCACTAGCCAAAGCCATGGGTGCCAGACATGTGCCCTGGCTGGAGTCTTTAGTCCAAAGGAAGGAAAATCTTGTCATCGCTGATCTATCCTGGGAGAGTACTTTTGTAGTTAGAACCTTTGCAGTTAACCCAGGCAGTGCATCAAGACTATTTCGAATTTGCATTAAGGAGCTAAAGAACAGATTGCATAGAGAATTACCAATCACTCTTGGGGAAAATGTAGAGCACCAAGCACACCTGACAGAGTGGTTGATGTGGGTCTTGGGAGAGAAGGGCCAGCCGCTAACTATATAAAGCATCTGGGGCTACTTGGGTAGCCTCCATGGAGGGCATTTGGAACTTGGCACCAGAGTTAAAATCTTCAGACTCTTGTGTTAAAGGGGGCATAAAAAATGGTTACTAGCACGGGTGGCAAAGCATTACCTATGGGAAAAGCAGCCAATATCTGCTAATGAATAAGTATAATTGATCAAAACAGATGACTTGATGGATCTTCCAAATGTGCTTTTAGCAAAGTGGACAGTTTTTCATTCAAATGCAAACTCACCCAGATAAGATCTAATAATGGAGATTTTGGAACAATCCCAGCATCAGTGATGTCCTCCCACCCCCTGAGCAAGAAGGGATCTTAAGTTCCTCACTGCAACCCAATCCAACCAGACACCAGATAAGCTTTCTGCATGCTTGAGGGGATCCTGACAGTCCTGAGACAGTCACAATGCTGTCCTATAGCCCCTTTAACCCATTTCCCCCTTACCCATTTCCACTCCCCGACCAATGAAGACCTGGGTAGCCATTCAAATTCAATTCAGTTGCTCTATTTATTGAGTACTGTGATGATCACAAGGGGATTCAAAGATGACTAAGACCAGACCCTGTCCTCAAGAAAATGATCAGAGGCTGTGAATGGTGGTGCACACCTTTAATCCCAGCACTCGCAGACAGAAGCAGATGGATCTCTGTGAGGTGGAGGCCAGCCTGGTCTACAGAGCTCAAGTTCTAGGCCAGCTGGAGCTACAGGGACCTGGTCTCAAAAAGCCAAAAAAGTAGGGTCAGGGGGAGGCATGTATGAGGGGAAGCAAAGGACAGAAGACTCCAGCGAAGGTCTCAGCTCATCTATCTGAGCTTCAGTTCCCTCCTTTGTCAGGTGAAGGCACTGGACAAGACAGGCTCTCTGACCAAGCCACCTTGAAACTAGGATTCCAAGCCTTTCCCTTCTCTCCAGCGTATGGGAAGCTGACAGAGCCAGAACAGGAAGGGGAACAGTCAACCAAGAGGAGCATCATGCACCCCTTCTGGAGTGAATTGGGTCCCTAACACAAGACGCAGGCTGGAGACAATGCAAGATAACCTCAGAACACCAAGGGAGAGGTTCAGACTTCCACACTAAGGCTATCTCGGGGAAATGGGGTGGGTGGGGCTTCTGGAATTTGAGAATACCATACCTTTAGGGTGGTCCAAAGGACTGTGGAGGTCCTGTGGGGAGTGAAGGTTAAGGCCTGCGGTTAACGGTCCCAACGGTCCCAATGTCTGGTCAAGCGCACAATCCCATCACCCCGGGCCACACTCACCATACTTATCTTCACAAACTCACTCAAGCCCCAAATTCACTTTGCAGGCCCTTGCTTTGGAGTTCCACAGGTGGCTGGATGGGAAACAGGCAATGCTCACCCCCCCCCTTCTTCCCAGGGGCCTATGGTTAAACAGACTGCCCCAAGGTTCTGCCAATTGGGGTACCCGCAGCCCGCAGCATGGGCCAGCGGGGGAGAGACCTAGAGAGGGGGTACGCCTACCTGCCGAGAAGCCGTCTTCGTGGTCCGAGCTGTTGCGGCTGCAGTCGCTGCCTCTATCTGGTGAGCAGGGACTGGGCGAGTCCCGCTCGGGTACCCGCAAGAACCTCTTGCGCCCCCACTGGGCGAGGTGCTCCCTCGCCCCGCGCCTCGGGGGTTCATCATCCGTCTGCTGTGGGGCGCGCCCGTCCTTGGCCTCCTCCTCCAGGTGCTCCAGGTCTCGACTCCGGCGATGGTGCCGCCAGCCCCCAGGGATCAGGTGCATCCAGCGGTGGGGGCTGCACGCCCGCGCCGGCTTCTCAGCCTCCTCACGGGCCCCAAAGCGGCAGGGGGCCATGAGTAGGTGACCCAGGACGAATTTCTCATTCAAATCCACCATCTCAAAGTCGTGGTCACTGCTGTCGCCCCCATCGTCCCCAGCGGAGGCGTCCGGTTCGCCCTCCTCCAAGCCCCGCCCCGCCCGAGTCCCCGACACCCTCTCCTCTCCCGGTGCTGGAGGCACAGTGCCGCCGTGGCCTGGGGGCGCGCAGTTCTCTCCGGGCCCGAAAAGCAGGCGAGGCTGCACCAGTTGCTGGTGGATGGCGGCGGTTAAGCTGCGCACAGCGCCCCCTCCTCCCTCCAATGTCCGGGGCCAGGCGGGAAGGTCCAGGCACTCGTAGGGGGATGGCGGCAGGGCCTGCGCCGCCACCTCAGGGTCGGGCCGTGCGGGGCCCGCGGGGTCTCCAGCACCGTCCGCCGCGCCCTCCTCCTCCCGCGGTGGTGACGCGCACTCGGGCCCGGCTAGCTCCGGCTCCTCCGCAGTGGTTCCCCCGCCGCCGCCGTCCCCGCCCTCCCGCCGGCCGCCGGGGAGATCCAGTTTCTCCCCAGCCAGAGCCGCCTGCAGGTACCAGACTTTGAACTTCTCCTCAGCCAACACCTGTTGCAGCCGCTTCAGGTTCAGTTTGCAACGCTCGAGCTCGCGCTCCATGTCCGGCACGGTCTCCAGCCTCATGAGCGGCGCCTCCTCCCCGGGGAACTCGGCCTGCCAGTGGCGCTCAAACTCCTGCGGGTCCCACATGCCCGCCATGCCGTCGGGCCTCCGGGAGCCCGGCTCGTCCGCGCCGCCGCGGGCTGAGGTGGCGTCGGAAGCTCTCCGGGAAGCCCGGGCTGTCGCAGTCGCCTGCTCTGCGTTTCAGTGCTTGAGGCGAAAAAAAAAAGAGAAAAAATAAAGTTTTTCCCCTTCCGCCCTCGTGCCTTTTTTTTTTTTCCCTTCCCCTCTTCTGGGTTTCGCCTCCCTGACGTAAGAGGCGCCAGTGGCGGAGGCTGGAGCCTGGGAACCCTGGGGCGGCCAGAGGCCGCACGTGCGTAGCCCTGGGACCGCAGTCCCGCCGCTCGGCCGGGCGCTGGGTGGGCTCGAGCGCACGGAGAACCGCGGCTGGCGGGCGGAGCCTCGGTGGCGCAGGGCCAGAGCCTGCGGGCGCGCCCCGGAGCTGCTTGGGCAGCCTGGAGAGGGCCGCCGAGGGTCGGGCCTGCGGGGCGGCCCACCTCCCAGGCGCCCGCGATGCCCCGCGCCTACCGCGGCTCGGCCCCCTAGCGTCTTCCCCGCCAGCCGCGACGCGCAGCTCCAGCTGCAGCGCGCGGTCCGCGGCCCCTCCCTGCACTAGAGCGCGCGGCCGGGAGGCGAAAGCTCCGGCAAGGGAGCGCGCCGGGGCCCCTGGGTCCCTGCCTGCCTCACGCCTTCGGGCTTCCCTCCCTTTGCAAGTTCACCAGACTCTGCCTAGGTCACGGCGGCACCCAGGGCCAACCAGGAAAAGGTGTGGGGAAAGGCGATGTGGAAGGGAGCTGTGTGCTGATCCTCCGGGTTGCTCAGAGTGGGGATTTATTCAGCTCCTTAGACTAATTTAGCCAAGATTATACAGCAGCTTAATCCAAAAATGGGGATAAAACTTTGCTGTTTGAATCCCTTTAAATATTCGTTTCATTGCTTCCCTAGAGGTTTTCTGGAGGAGAAATGAGCAAGGGAGACAGCGACAAGTGGCTGTGCTGGAGGGTACTGTGACCTCAAAGCTGAGGGCACTCCAGAGTGACAATTCAGATCATAGTTGCAGAGACCTTGATCTTGCAGAGGGCCCTCCACTCCACCTCCTCTTAGTGACCTCAGACAACCCTCATTAAAGGAGGGAAAGGAAGTAGGTGCTGGTGTAGGAACAAGTGGGCTGCGTGGGGACTCAAGCTTCGCCCTCCTGGGTGAGGAGTGTCACCTGCAGAGAGGCCTGGAGAGGCCCTGATACATTGTCTTGTGTTTGCTGGTTAGGGAGACCTTATCAGTGATTCATAGTTCCTTCATTTCAAGGATGAGGCAATTGATATAGTTCAGAGGCAAAGTGACTAGTCAGCTGGATGGTCTTCCTTTCTGTCCTCTGGGGACTAGAGCTGAACATGGGGGTACCTTCTCTCCAACCCACTGTCACTCACCTGACACTAGGCCATCCATTTAATCCATCTCTCAAGGCTCCAAAAAGATCAGTCGTTCACTCCTTCCTTCCTTCCTCCCTCCCTCCTTCCCTCCCTTCCTTCCTTCTTTTTGATGTGTCTATGTATTTGTGCCTGTGGTATATGTCTGTGTGCACGTGTGTGTGCAGGTCCTCACCCTTGCAGAGGTCAGAGGTTTGGTATCTTCCTCTATCTTCGCCTCCATCACACTTTTTGGGAGGGAGTGTCTCACTGAACCTGAGGTTCCCCATTTGGGCAGGACTTGCTAGCCAGTGAGCCCCCAGAATCTGCCTATCTCTCCAGCTCCCATGGCCATATTTTTATGTGGGTACTGGGGATCTGAACTCAGGCTCTCATGTTTCTGAGGTAAACACCTTACCTGCTGAACCATCACCATACCTGGGAAGATATTTCCTAACCACAACCAGGATAGTATCAATGTTTTTCCTCAGATTCGTTTCTGGTCACCTACAGGATAGAGTCCAGACTCCTTTGCATGACACAGGAGGTCCTGCCAGGTTTGGTCTCTTAATTTCTTCTTAACTTCAGCCTGAACAACTCAAAGCCTTGAAACCCCTGGAACTAGAGTTAGGCCATTGTGAGTCTGTGAGTGCTGGGAACAGAGCTTGGTCCTGCAAGAGCAGGAAATGCTGTTAATGCTGAGCCATCTCTGTTCTAAATTTTAAAAAAGTTTTATTCATCTAATCAATTTTTATTTTATGAGTGTTTTACCTGCATGTTCATAAGTGCAACGCATACATGCAATGCTCAAGGAGGTCAGAAGAAAACATCAGATTCCCTGGGAACTGGAATTACAGAAGGTTTGAGCTGCCATGTGGGCAGCTGGGAACTGAACCTGGGTCCTCTGCAAGTGGAGCCAGAGCGCTTAACCATTGAACCATCTCTCCGGTCACCCAAAAATTTTCTTTATGACTTTTTCTCATCCTCCACACATAAAACTCCGGCAGCCTGAAGACCTCCAACTCTGAGAAGCCTTTTCCGCCCCTCCCCCTCTTGTTTGTTATCACCAGGGGAGCACAGAGCTCTGTCTTTGCTCTCCTTCTACTTCCATATAATTAGTGATACTTTTTGTTTCCTCTAAAAAGGTCCACCAGGGCAGGCATTGTTACTTTTTTTATTGTCCTGCTGCTTCTTGCAGAGTGGGATATAAAGATGACTAATCATTGTTGAAAAAAAAAAAAAAGTGGTCAGATGAATGCACTCCCACTCCCACTACCAGATGAATGCATACTTCCACCCCCTCCCCCTCCCCCACACGAACACCCATACACGCAGTTGCACACCCACACCTTGCTGTTCTTGCTTGGCTTCTGTTCTACAACCTTCAGGACTGGGCCAAATGTGCTTCCCCCAGAGGCTTTTCACTCTGGAATTTCCTTTCTTGCCAAAGTATGTGTTTATTACGGCCCCTCTTACTTTCTTTTCTTTTCTTTTTTTTTCTCATTTGGTGTACAACTAGTGTGGATTGTCTCAGTATTTGTCTTCATGTCAGACTATTGTGGGGTTATGGAGGGATTTTTTTTTTTTTTTTTTTTTTGAGACAGGTTCTCACTGTGTAGCCCTGGCTGGTGGCCTGAAACTCACTATGTAGACTGGCCCCAAACTCTGGAGATTCACCTGCCTTTGCCTTCTGTGTGCTGAGGTGAAAGGTGTGTGTCACCATGCCTGACTGAAATACATTTTAAAATACACTACGTCAGGCAAGGTAGCACAGGCCTTTAATCCCAGCACTCTCAGGAGGCAGAGGCAGGTGGATCTCTGTGAGTTCAGGCCAGCTGGGGCTACAGGGAGACCCTGCCTCAAAAAAAAAAATAAATAAAATACACTAATTACAGAGTCCCTAGTTGGAATGACTTCTCAACCCTTCATCTAGTTCTTCACCCTACTAATTTCTTCCTCACTTAAATTCCATACCCTGAGGCCCAGAGCCACCACAATCTCCTTTGTCCACTGGAAGACTGAGGAACTCCCCATTCCTCCAACCAGCCAGTTCAGGGTGGGGCAATCCACCAGAGTTTACAGAAATTGTGGCCTCTGTTAAGACTCCACAAGGGGAGAGAAAAACCACAACTCAAGTCAATAGCATATTGATCCAAAGATCTTTCTGTATGTATATTGAAGTGGACAAAGAAAGAAAAATTATAACTTACTATAAACATCAATTTCTGAATGCCTAAGTTCCCGGGGAGGATGGTTTCAACTCTGTCCTTTAATTAAAGCATAGTACGGTCCCCTTTTGGCTCAAGGAAGTTGTTACCAAAACCCCTAATTTTTTCCACCAGGACCAATATAGCTAGAAATGCCAGCATACATCTTCTGTAAACAGATCCCAGGAGCAGATTTTATTGTCTCTAGCTGGTGAATGGTTCAGACTTATTACCTGGCTTTGGGTTACCATGGGGACAGGAGTAGGGTGGTTGACATTTATTGAGTCCACATTTCTCATTGCTGTACAGCTTTGATTTCATCCAATTCCTTACAACAACCCTATAAAGAAGGTATTATTGTTGCTGCTTCAGAAAGATGGAAATGAAAAGTCACAGAGGTTAGAGGTTACCAGCTAGCTAGTCTGCGGGATTCTAAAGCCCAGCAGCTTTGCACCACTGTGGTCCTGATGCATTTGTCTTTCGCACTCACTCTTTCAGTAAATATGTGTTGAGCACCTATAGGGTGCCAGGGCCAGGCAAATAAAGGTTAAAGATTTTAGCCTGGCGTATCACAGTCTTCACAAGGTTGCTCTGACCCCAGCCTGCTTTCCCAACTTCATTTCCTGAGTCCCTTCTGCTTGCTGTACCCATCCAACCCTTCAACCTGAGTGGCCCTCTGTGGCAGATGCTTCTTGTGTCACGTGTCACTGCCCATTGGCCTATCTGGGAGTTTTTGCTGCAGCCGTGGTGGATACTGGCATCTCATCTCAAGTTCAAATCCCACCATGCTCCATTTTTATATCTGAAGTTTTTTTCTCAAAATCATTAAGTTCTCAAGAACAGCCCAGAAACTTCCATGGAGAAGTCCCATGACCATGAAATAGGCATTGGTAAATGCTCCCAGCTCCTATCTTGTGTGTATGTGTGTGTGTGTGTGTGTGTGTGTGTGTGTGTGTGTAGTGTTGCAGTGTTTCACACAATCCCAGTCAGCTTTCAACTTTCTATGTAACCAAGACTGGCCTTGAACTCCTGATTCTCCTGCCTCCACCTCCCAAGGGGAGGCACTGGGATTACAGACATGCACCCTGTCCTCTCTGTTATAGCAACAATAATGCCTCACCATCCTTTCCCCAGTTCCTCCCTGGTAGTTCATGTCTCCTTTACCATGCTGCTTCCTCCTCTGCCTAATGAGATCCCATTGCACCTATCAAAACCCAGCCACCCTGTGACTTTCTGTCTAGAACCTTCCCTTCCCCAGGTCCTGTTAGACATGACTCTCTGCAGAGAGACTGACCTTGATCCTAGCAAAATACATTGTAATTAATTCTGTGGTTCTTCAAGTCCTCTGCACTTCAAGTCTCAGTCCTCAAGCTTCAAGCCTAACAGTGAAGGATCAGATGCTCCTGGCCAGCTAACACCTCTTATTTCTCCA